AGGTAAAAGATACAGGCAAATCAAAGAAACAAAGTAAATCAATAAGAAACCTCCGAAATGACTTGATAAACATAATATCTTGAATTCGGTTTGGAACCATTCGTGATACATCTATCTACAGAGAAAATTATACCAAGAACAAGTATTGACACAAAAAAATGTGTAATATTATTTGCAAAATATTAAGGTATATTCCATATATATTTTCAAGTTATCTAACTTATTCGACTATATATGATCTCATATGTGTTATGAATGCAGCATTATAATAAGAACTTGCTTCTAATTTAGATAAATAGTGTGGAGTGGTCCCACATATAAAAATCAAGACACTATAAATGAAAAATAAAGTTTATTACAAAATTATAATAATTTACAAAATCTTCTTGGTTGAATGCCGGTATTCTTGGTATTCCTTGGTTGGACTTCGTAGTTTATCTAGGTGTTGCCTGCTCGACCAGTAGAAGAGAAAAGAGATCGAGGATGGTAGCTGCTTTGGTTATATACCTGGAAGCCTGACCCCCTCCACACATTAGGGTCCCTAATAGTGTGGAGGCTAGTGTAGCTCTTTACTACTATTTTTCAATAGTAGGAGAGCTAGTGTCGCTGCAATACCCCCCTGGCGAGTCAATAAAATTGTATTAATTTTATTGGATGCGAGGACGAACTACCCGTCCAAACCGTGTTTTATATTGATTGGAGGTATGTTCAGTAGCTCTGGATGGAGTTGGACTCGTACTTTGGTCGTCTTCTGTGGTAAAAGCGGGCTTGACACGATCGATGGATACTCTTACATTGCGTTCTCCAATTTTAATTTTCAATGTTTTGGAGTTTCGATCTATGACTTCATACGGACCTCTGTATGGACAAGAAAGCGCTGGTCGCAGAGCGTCTTCCCTAAGGAATACAAATTTTGCATTACTTAGTTCTTTATGTACAAAAGTCTTTTTCGATCCATGTGCAGATGTAGGAGTTGGATGTATTGTTTCGAAATGTCGATGTAGATTTCTCAATAAATCTATTGTTGGTATCTCCTTGCGTGTGCTGATTAAAAATTCGCCAGGTAGACGAAGCGGCTCTCCATATACTAATTCGGCGCTGCTGCTTTTAATGTCTTCTTTAACAGAAGCTCGAATTCCTAATAAAATAATTGGTAGAGAATCCATCCATGACGGGTCTGCATGGCACATGAGGGCTGTTTTCAGTGGCCTGTGAGCATTTTCAATCAATCCATTCGATTGCGGGTGATATGCTGTAGTAGGAATGTGGGAAATTCCTAGTAGTTTGGTTACTCCTTGAAAAACAGCTGAACAGAATTGCCGTCCTTGGTCGCTAGTTACTTGAGAAGGAACACCAAAGCGTGAAATCCAAGAATACAAGAAAGCCCAGGTTACACTTTCTGCGGTAATATCTGATAGAGGAAAAACTTCAAGCCAGCGTGTGTAACGGTCTATAGCGGTGAATAGGTATTTGAAGCCTTTTGATTGTGGAAGTGGTCCGACAATGTCAATGTGAACATGCAGAAATCTGGCGGGTGGCACTTTGAACTCTCCAAGTGGTGTGACTATATGCCGACCAATTTTGGAGCGTTGACATGAGATGCAGCTTCGAGCCCAGGTTCTACAATCCTTGCGAATGCCAGGCCAAACAAATCTACCCGTGATGAGTTTAGTTGTGGTTTTTATACCTGGATGAGATAGATTGTGCAGAGTATTAAAAATATGTCGTCTATGTTCAGCAGGAACATAAGGACGTAATCGATTTTGAGATATGTCGCAATATAATTGTTCTTTGGTTCCTGGAATAGCGATGCGTTTCAGGTTGAGAGCAGTATCTGATTTTAAGAGCGTTACCAATTCTTCATCTTCGTCTTGCGATTTAGCAATAACGGAGTGATCCAAAGGCGATGTTATGGCTTCTGCTCTTGAGAAAGCGTCGGCTACAATGTTTTGTTGTCCACTAACATAGCGAACATCTGTTGTAAACTGCGACAGAAAACTTAATTGATTTAATTGTATTGGCGGCAGCTTGTCCTTTCGCTGGGAAAAGGCGTGAATTAAAGGTTTGTGGTCAGTAAACCAAATGAAATGTCTCCCTTCCAGTAAGCTTCGAAAATGTTGCACTGCTTCGTATCCAGCCAAAAGTTCTCGATAATATGCTGGCCAAAGTTGTTGTTTCTCAGATAGTTTTTTTGAAAAGAAGCCCAAAGGTTGCCAAGTGCCATTGATGTACTGCTGTAATACTGCACCGATAGAATGGTTGGATACATCGCTAAATAATGCTGTTTGAGCATTTGGAACTGGGTGTGCTAGTAATGTTGCTTTAGCCAATTCTTTCTTACATGTCTCGAAGTTATCTTGAAGCTGTGGGGTCCAAGAAATTGGTTGTGATCCAGATTTGGTAGATCCTGAGAGCAGCTTGTGTAGCGGAGCAAGAAATTCAGCTATGTGACGAATAAACCTTCGATAGTAATTAATCATTCCTATGAAGCGTCGCAGCTTTGAGTAGGTTGCCGGTAGCGGATATTCTTGGAGATCGTTGATACGGTCTTGTGGTGGCAAAGTTCCATCTTTAGAAATTTCATAACCAAGAAATGTAACTTTGGGTGCACCTAATACGCATTTCGCTGGATTAATGACAACGCCGTGGTCTTTCAGGCGTTCAAATAATTGGCGGAGATGATCTTGGTGTTCTTCTAGCGATGTAGATGATATAAGAATATCATCTAGGTATGCGTAACAAAAATCCAGACCTTGTGTAACCTCATCTATAAATCGCTGAAATGTTTGTGCTGCATTCCTTAGTCCAAAAGTCATATACGGGAACTCAAACAGCCCAAATGGTGTTATTATTGCTGTTTTTGCAATATCATCAGGATGGACTGGAATTTGCTTAAAGGCTTTCACTAAGTCGATCACTGAAAATATAGTACATCCTGCTAAATTATGGGCGTAGTCCGCAATATGACGAACAGGATATTTGTCTGGAATTGTTCGTGAGTTGAGTAGCCGATAATCTCCGCATGGACGCCACGTCGAATCCTTTTTCTGTGCCAGATGTAGAGGTGAAGACCAAGAACTATCGGAGGGTCTTGCAATGCCTAATTCTACCATATTCTTAAATTCTTCTTTGGCTACTCGAAGTAAATCTGGCTTGAGGCGCCGTGGTCTAGAAGAAACTGGAGGTCCTGGAGTGGTTCTGATATAATGAAATGTTTTGTGTTTGCTTTCTTGACACAAGCCTGATGGTCTGGTGATGGATGGAAAATCAGCTAATAATTTATTGTAAGCACTATCTCCAAATATAGACTTGACACTTTGTATCCGAGAGAATGTGACACATCCTGGAGATGACAGTGATGTCAGGTTGTCATGTAGACGAGAATTCTTTATATCGATAATGATATTGTAGTACGCCAAAAAGTCTGCTCCAAGTATAGGCATTGTTACGTCTGCTACGATGAATCTCCAAGTAAAATTTCTTCTTAGTCCAAAATCTAATTGTAAAATAATATCCCCGTACGTGCGTATGTTGGTTCCATTGGCTGCAGACAAAGTATAGTTTAGTTGAGGATTAGGTTTAGCAGTTAAGCGCCTTGGATACACGCAAACGTCTGAACCTGTGTCGACCAAAAACTGTACCTTAGTTCTGCGATCACTTATGAAGAGGCGACGGCTTGATGAAGAGCAAGGATAGGTCGCCATCACTCCTTGCCGTTGGAGTTTTCCTCTCTGAACGAACAATGACTCTCGCATTTTCTTGCCTTCTTTCCGAATTTGGCGTGGTACCAACAGAATGTTTTTCGGTTGCGCGATCTAGAAGTACTTCTCGGCCTGAAGAAGTGGTTAGACCTGTCTTGTCGAAATGGGCTACAGTTTCTATGTGCTGATAGGTTGAGTCTGCTACGATAGGTTAACTTGGCTAATTGCTCTGTAAGATCTTCCACACGCTGTGTTAGTTGATCATTTTTATCAATTAGTTTTTGTATGATGTCTTGCTGTTGGTTGTTACTAGTTGCTGCGACTACTGGTGGTTGTGCAATCTCACATATTTTGTCGGCGAGCGATGCAAGTTCTTCTAGGTCTCCATTGATCTGGGTTTGCAGTATTTGTTGAGTCTGTGCCGGTAGTCGTTGAATCCAGATTTCTCGTAGGAGTGAATTGTCGACTGTAGTTGTTCCGACCAATGAACGAAGGTGACGTAGGAACTGAGAAGGACTTCGATCACCAAGTTCTTCTTGCAAAAGTAATTGTCTTATCCTTTGCCGTTCGGAAATTGATAGCCTTTTGATTAATTCCTCCTTTAGTTTTATGTATTTGTTCTCTGCAGGCGGAGAATTTATCACGTCCTCTATCTGGAGTAAATATTTGCAATCTAGGTGAGCTATTACAAATTCATATTTAGCCAGGTCATTGATGATGCGGCATCGAGAAAATATTGCTTCGGCAATTGTGAACCACAATGTCGGTTTCTCACTTAAAAATGGCGGTAGATGCGGAGTGCGTGAGATTGCATCCAGTTCCCCTTTAGTGTCCTGCATGTCTTTATTCATTGTTTTTTATTGTCTTCTGTACGGATAGTGCTCTATAGTAATTCAGCTCACACCAATTATGTGGTCCAATTCAGCGTCGGGGTCACCAATTATGTGGAGTGGTCCCACATATAAAAATCAAGACACTATAAATGAAAAATAAAGTTTATTACAAAATTATAATAATTTACAAAATCTTCTTGGTTGAATGCCGGTATTCTTGGTATTCCTTGGTTGGACTCCGTAGTTTATCTAGGTGTTGCCTGCTCGACCAGTAGAAGAGAAAAGAGATCGAGGATGGTAGCTGCTTTGGTTATATACCTGGAAGCCTGACCCCCTCCACACATTAGGGTCCCTAATAGTGTGGAGGCTAGTGTAGCTCTTTACTACTATTTTTCAATAGTAGGAGAGCTAGTGTCGCTGCAATAGTAATAGTTATGTGACTCTAATAAATCTCAATGTTCAACAGGTCCTGCCTTCTTGATTTGTCCCGTTTCCGAACTTCTGCCCACGGACATGCGGAGTTTGGGGGCCTCAACCGCGTTGTTATGGTCAGGAAGCTGGAGGAGAGGACATTCAAAGCGAAAAATGGACAGGTGAGAGTATAAAGTATATATATAATATGTGTGTATGTGTATATGGGGTAGAGCGAGGCTTGAAGTTCCGCGGGTAAAAAGGTTCACCACCAATATCTCAAACACAAGTAAAGTAAAAAAATTTTAACAACAATATTTGAAAGTAGACGGACAAAGATGTATATCCAGCCATCACCTTGATTTCATAATTAGATTTTTAGTTGTGACCATTTGTTGCTTAGTTTACGAAACCTTAATATTTAAACGTTTAGTAAACCTTAGTTTTTGAACGTTATTTAATTGTTTTATTAGATGAATTGCTAATTTTGAGTTGGTTTCAACAGTTTTTATTATATAAACTATATAAAATGTTACTTGTGGATGAGTGGGGTAAAAAAGACCAACTGAATCTTCATCCAGAAAAAAAGCGTAAACAATATAAAGTAGTAAATAAAAAAGTAATTTAAATTTAAGAAAACAATTTTACAAATGATGAATTAAATAAATAGTAGTTCCAACTCTGCTGATGAATATTTCTGGCAAAATACCAGATGAAGGTGATGTTCCGTGTTATCTCTGTAAAAACTGCACCCATGAAATTTATATTTGGTTGAATAATGTAGCTATTTGTTCGTAATTTACCTTCAAAATGGAAAATAAGACATTGGACCTAGTGCCTCCTGGCCGTTCAGTAAGAAGGATTTCGCGACAAATTTTTGAGAAAAAGTAAAAAACACATTTCTACAATGATAAATTATCTGTGAGTTTCACTGAATATAGTCAGATAATTGTTTGTTTGATATGTATTATTTGTTGTGATATAGTTGGTTTGGTTTTCACAATATAATTGCTCAAGGTCAAGTTGGACCTTTATGCTCCGCCCTACGCTAAATATATAGATATATGTTAAAAGTGTTTAAATATGTATTTAAAGTAGTTTAAGTATATTAGATACATAATGACTCAATCCTTTTTATTTGATGTTAATCCTGTCAAGATTTTACTCATATATGAATAGAGGAGCTAAGGGCTTGTTGTAACAGATTTTTTTTAATTAATATATATTGACCACTGATTATATTTTTAAGAAATAAAGATAAATATATGCTCTAACTATTATTATGCCAAAACCAGTTAAAATAATTTTATAATTATTGTTTATTATTTCACAACTAATCAATTTCTAAAAAAAGTGCGTTGCTGCAACTTACCCAGTGTTTGGGGCTAGTTCTAAACAAATGACAATGAAATTTTTAATAAGTTATTCTTTGTTTATTCTTAAGAAAATTAACTTGTTTCTAAGTAATTCTTTTCATGCATCAACGCAAAGCATGATTAATACAAATGAAATATATAATATCCCCTGTATCATAAATCAACAAACACTACAATTAATGTCATATCTTACATACTATATATTCCATTCAATCTTCTTTATTTGAATCTGTATATGTTAATGGGTATTAAATCTAAATTTATGTCACCTATTATTATTGTATGTTTATCGTTTTCATCATTTTTTTTTAATTTTTTGTTTTGTTTTGTTTTGTTTTTTGTTTGTTTTAATATAATATAGAAAAAAGTAATTTAATAATCAAATGTGAATATATAAAAATATAAATATTTTTATATTATAGGAAATTGTTACGAGAGAAACGATAGAAACATTTCGTGGTAATGAGAAAACGGATCGAAAATTTACCAGGTTATTGAAGCCAAACTCACTAGCCAGATTGCCTTCAAATTTGTCCAATTCGCTCTCTGAAGGTAATAAGTAATAATATTAACACATATATCTTATTAAAATACATTATTGTCAAAAATTTAAATATTTTTCAAATCTATTTAAAAATATACACATACATAGTCATTAAAATAAAGAACAGAGCAATCAACCTTCTTTTTCTGGGTAGAAAGACATTGGTTTTGCTCATCGTTCCTTTAATTTTTAATTTAATGTATCTTATTTCATCAGGTAGATTGTGTCCTTTATTGTTTCTTGAGAACGTTAAATAACCCAATTTATAATCTTGTACTTCACTGTTGAATCATTAAATCAGTGATTGATTTTATTTCATCATGTAATTTTTTGCTGTTTTATGTTTTATGAGACTTTTAGGTGAGAATTTGTTTTGTCACTATTTTAATGGTCAATATTCTGGATTGTGTAAATTGTTATACATTCGATTGATTTTATTATTTTTTATTTTATGCATCAGGATGCATTTTTTATATTCTTGTACAGTTTCATAAGTTGCACCATGTAATTATATGAGTGAAAATAGTGTTGTATATTTCAGATCTATTTTAATTGGTTAATCTTTATTTTTTTTAGTTCAATTTCATTATTTGACATGAAGATTCAATATTATAGCAAATTATGTATTACGAAATACTTTTACTTATAAAATTGTGTTAATTATATTTAGATTTTCATTTAGCGTTAAACTGGCGCCGGCAAATTAAGAGTTCAAATAATAGTTATATATTGAACAAAGGTTTCCATATAAGTGTAAATTATAATTGTTAATACAAATTAAGTACAAGGTTTACAGTATCAATAAAACTTGCAAACGAAGAGCATAGGAAATGTATTATGGAACTTTGAAATGTACAAAATATATGCTTTGAAACTTACATAGTTCGATATTATAAATCATATATAAAAATACATAGGATGCGCTCGTGTAATGTATAATCGATTTGTAAAATCCTTGGCAATGAAAACTTTTTCCATAAAACTTAATTGGATTTAATATTGATGCTGAACATGCAGAAACTGTTAGTTTAAACGCTTTCTTTATTAGCTTAACCTTTAAGGTAGTACTTTTGCAGCCATTTGAATCGGTTTTAAAGCTTTTAGGCTGAAAATAATTGTTATTGAAAATATTATAATTGTTTATCGATGTATATTTATTCAAAATGCGCCCAGGATATTTTCAACGTATTTTTATCTTATAATGTATACTAGATATGGCATTTCATTTAATTGAAAAACTAATGGGGCGCATGGCATCGTGCCTTAAGGCAAATTGCTGGAACTTTCCGTAGAATTTTTTTTAAAAACAAAAGATTAACATTTTTGAAAAAAATTACTCTGAAAAAATTAGATTTTTGAGAAACTATACATTTTTGATAAAAATTTACTTTTTTTTGAAAAAAGACTAAAAGAAAAATTTATTTTGAAATATTTATAAATTCTGAACTTTTTTCAAAGCAATCGTATTGCTTTTACTGCATAAAGACGAAATATCGAAGCGCCGCGTCGCCGTCTAACGGATAAACATTGGTACGTAACCCATAAAAATGTAAACAAAATTTATGCTTATTATTAAAATCTCTATAAAATGTCTAATAATTTGATGATCATTTTTGACCGCCAAATGGCATTTTTTTTACTTTTTTCATTAGATCTCCGAAACCGCTAGCCTTTATGAAAATCAGTTCTTCATCTTGTTAATATAAGTAAAATGTTTTTTGAATTTTGAAAATCGGACGCTCCGTTCTCTTAAAAACCGTGTTACAGTTTTTGGCACCTTTTGCCCCGTACCTTTGGAACGGCTAGACCTGCCCCCGTCAAAAACTAATCAGCACGTCTCCTTATTAGTACGAATTGAATGTTTTTTGAATTATTTAAATCGGTTGATCGGTGTTCCCGAAATCGTCGACGAAAATTTGTATCCGCACACACACGCACACACATACAGACACACACACACATACATCCATTTTTTCTAAGGTGTGCCAAAATATTCAGAGACCTTTGAAACGTAAAGATATATAAAAATTTTCATTTTCGATTTTTTTGCGATTACTATAAGTTGCCCTACGGGAAGTTATTTATGTATGATTCTGAATTACTTTTATTCATTTCAGCGATTCTATAATTGTTATGTGAGTTCACTAATTATATATCTAAATTTTGGTAATATATAAATTAATTTAAATCAAATTATGCAACTGGTGGTGTATGGCATCGAAAAAAATCGATTTTAGATATTTTTAAAATTCTTGAAACGGTTGATATTTTTGAAAAATGTGATTTTTTTATTCTTTAAAATATTTTGGAAATTTTGAACTTTTTTTCAAAGCAATCGCGATACGTTAGCTGCGTAGAAACGAAATTTATTCTTATTATTAAAATATCTATAAAATATGTGATAATTTTATGTGCATATGCCTAATGATTATTTTTGTCCGCCAAATGGCATAATTTTTCACTTTTTTCATTGGATTTTTGAAACCACTAGACTTACATGCCCAAAATTTCCACCTGTTCTTCATTTCATCAATACAAATGAATTGTTTTTTGAATCATTTAAATCAGACACTCGTTTCTCTCAAAAATTAAATTACCATTTATGGCAATTTTTGCCCTGATTAAAAACATATCACTTGATAAAATTAGTGTAGAGTTTATATTAAAAGTATAGACAAAATTATATCAGGATTAGCTATACCTGATAAATCGGATCAACCTGACTGTTGATCGAAAAATTTTAAGAACCGAATAAAAAACTACCGTTTTAAAAAATGTAGAAAGGGGACGACCAAGAATTTATATCATAATAGCAAACTTTTGTTTAGATTTATCTTTTTTAGTTTATCATCCAACTATATGATTTCTATTCCTGCAATAAAATATAAATCACAACTAAAAGATTTAATTATTACAAATGTAATACATTTAGTTACTTTGAATTATTTTGCTTATACCAAGTTTAGAAGTCGATATTATGATAACAATTGGCATTTGCGCTTCTACTTAGTAACTAAGTCTACCTAGTAACTAAGTCTTAGTTGCTTTATTTACATAGTGTACATTTGCTAGTTTGTTTGATATAATCTATTATTATTTATGTACTTAAGCGCAATAAAATTAAAATTTCTATTATATACCACGTGCTTAAAAACAGATGCTGGCGTTGGAAATTTATTTTTTGCGAGCATTTTTTTTTATGATATATCTAAGGGTTTTGGAGATTCATTCTTACCTCATCTACTATTGCACTTATTTTGTACTATATTTATATTACTAAAATTATCTTAAACAAACAATTTTGAGCTAATTTGGTTTATGACTCAATAGTATTTGTTAGTTCATTTTTTTAATGTACCAGGCTGGGCTATATTGTTTTCTTAAATGGTTATTATGAACTAATTGGCAACGCAAAATATGTTGCAAGGTCAGTTTCTAATAATAATAATATTGATATCAATAGGTATTTTTAGATATTTTTTATTATGTTCATTTAATTATATGACATGTAAATATTTGCAGTAAGAAAATAATTAAACCAATTTTAATGTGAATGATTATTTACACACCTATTGCATTTTGAATAATTAATTTGCGTAACTAAATTATACTTATGATTTGATTTAACAAAGGAAAATGAATATTTTGTTTTGCAGATCAGTTTTGAGTATGATTTTAATATTTTATACCGTGTTATACTATCATTTTTAAATGGTATAAAGATCGATGACTTCAATATGTTTTTTTATTAATTAGTTTCATATGTACATATGTCATAAACATGCGACGCGCTTTTAAACATGGTTTGAATATTATTTTTTTATTTTTTGTATCGTTTTTTCGCTTTTAAAAACTCTTTAATTTAATTGTTTATTATGACTTGCAGATCCGCCATTGGAAGAGGAAAACTTCGAACAAAATTTTCTACGTGCCATAAACAAATTAAGAAATAAGCATGGCTCGCCAAATTTGCATATTTCTGATCGACTGAGAAATGTAAGAAAATATACTGATTAATTAGCAAAACATCTTGTTATTGAAAACTTGAAATAATATTCAATATTTGATTTGACTTCATAACTTTAGTTTTACTGATATTAAAGCAGATTGCACAATTTAATTTTTTTATTAAAATGTTTTATGTAGTAATCGTGTAATGTTTTTGTTAGAGTTCGCAAACTTTAGCAGATTCCATAGCTGCTGGAAAATCTATTAATGATGCCTCTAAAGAAATGGAAGATCAGAATCTAGGCATAAATGTATACTGGTCAAGTGCTGGAACACCTATTACACCTACAAGAATATTAGCTCATTGGTATGGAGAAGGAAAAAATTATATCTCGAATAGAGCAGAAAGTTGTGATGACCAATTTCGATCTAGTAGTGAATTTGATCATTCGCAAAGTGAACATGAGATGCAAGAAGTTTCCAAAAAACAAAATGGCACAAAGTCACCTCATGAAAAAAATGTTTTGCATAATGGACATGGATCTAACCTTAAGCGGGATTTTGTTAATCGAACATTTAAAACAAATGGCACAGAAAAAAATGAAGCTTACGAATCTGATGCTAGTACGTCTAATTGTACATCAAAATGATAAATGCAAAACATACAGATTGCGCTAATTTCACTCAAATGTTATGGAAATCTAGCCTGCAAGTTGGAATAGCGTTATCTTGCAGCTCAAACGGCAACTGTGGCTGTGGCCCTATTTCAACCTAAAGGCAATTTGATGGGTCAATATTATGAAAACTTACCTAGAAGTGAAAGCTTAGAAAGTTTTGATAGTTATGATTCTACAGATTTCTGCAAATCTCACAATTACCAGAATAATGAAAATTTTCGCGAAGAATGCTTGAGAACTCATAATAAGCTTCGCGCTTTGCAGGGGCGCCTCCACTTCGATTGAGTAAACGACTCTGCAAGTAAGTATAGTGTTCTTAGTTGAATTTAAATTAATTTGCATATGATTCTAAATTGATTATGCGTATAAATAATTGCATGTAATTTATTTTCTTTCTTCGCATATTAATGATGAATTAAAATTTTATTGCCTAATAGCTATATGTGTAAAGTTAATCTTTTGAATTTATACATACAATTATTATATCATTAAAATTATTACCGATTTCTATCATAATTTAGAATTTTTATTTACTCATATAAAATAGGTACAGTCAACAATGGGCCAATACCTTAGCAATTCGGGGACGATTGGAGCACAGACCGCATTCTGAATATGGGGAAAATTTATATTGTACTTGGGACCTTGATTCTACACCATCTAAAAATGTAAGCCGAGATTTATCAAATTATTCATGGAGTCATTCTGAAATAACATCTGAATTCTCTGGAGCATCAAGAAATAGTCTAAAAACGAAGCAAAGTTCTGCTATAGCGCAAAAGGCACGATCAGAGAGCAGATTATCAAATGAAACACCAACATCGCCTGCCGGAACAACATTTTTGACGACTTCCAGAGCAACTTCATCTTGTTCGGATAATTTACCATCTTTATGTTCCGGCAAAGTATCTCCATGCGTCGGCTTCAAATCGGCATCTGTCAACGGAAAATATAAATTTTGTCCAAATATCAGCAAATCGCTGAAGAAATCGCCTCGCTCTATTCCAGAACGGCCAGTGACAGCGCCACCAAAACCAGGCTTAGGATCCAAGATTGTCCGTAGATCATCTTGCGTTTTTCCTCAGCGTTCGAACACCATTCCTAGGCCATCAGCATTTGAAAGGCGCCAGATAAGAACTGCTTCTTTATGTTCAGGAAGTGTTCCGGAGAGATTGCACACGCCACCGAACGGCCGAGAGGCAGTAGAACGATGGTACGCGGAAGTTGGGCAGCATGAATTCTATAAGGAACCGACTACGCTACGCACAGGCCATTTTACACAAGTTGTGTGGAATGATTCACGAGAATTAGGTAAGTATCAATATTAGGGTTTATACAAAACCGACATTTCAGGAAACCGGTTTTCGAATTTTGATTTTACTAAAAAACGGTTTTAACCGGTTTCGAATTTTATATAGAAATAAATTTTGCTTGAATATTCTGTAATTTTTCCACAAATTTGGTGTAATTAGAGTAGTATTTCACTGAATTTATTTATTGTTTAATTTTATAGATAGTAAAAAAAATTATTTTAATTTTAATTAGTAGAACTAAAAAATAATAGTTTATCTTGGTTAAATATCTATGGGTTTAATATATTAAATAACTATGAAAATAATTATTCGTTATTCATGCATGATTTTCACATATAAGAATGAAAATATTTCTATGATAGAAAGGAAAGTTTTCGAATTAATATAAATAATACATTTTTAAATAAAAAACATTCATTAAATAAAAAAATTTAAAAAATATTAGATACATGTGGATACATACTTGTTAATATCAATTTTAGTTTTAAAAACAATTCAGCTAAATTCGGGTATTGTCTGTTCCGAGGAATTTTAATTAATTAATTTTAAAACATTATACATTAAACATTATAATTGTTTTTTGTTTAATAAAATATGATTTCAAAAAACTGAGAACGTCTATCGAATTGCTACTTAGACGTGTCCTTTGTTTACTCACAAAATTCTTTTATTTGTGGCTTCTAGAGATCAAAACTTTTTTTTAAGTTTGAGTAGAGGAAGTTACTTCTTCAAGAAGAAGACACACTGATTTAAATTAATATGTACACTGGTATAAAAATCTAAATTAAATATACAAAACCTTTCTGGGAACCGTTGCAAACTGATAATAATATATCAAATGCTATTGAACCAATATGATTTCAAGAATCAAATCATCTATGTTTTATATTTGGCTATATTTGTCATTTTCTATTCATATACAGTGAAAACCGACTTTTTTGACTAAAAAACCGGTTTTCGAATTCCATCATTTTCGCCAAAAAACCGGTTTAAAACCGGTTTTTGAAAACCGACAAACCCTAATCAGTATAAATAATATCATCCTAACTTTTAACAAATCTTTTCTTTTCCTAATTCAGGTGTAGGTATTGCTACAAATAAACAAGGACAAACTTTCATCGTGGCAAACTACCATCCACCGGGTAACTTCTTAGGCAGTTTCACGCATAATGTTCCGCCCATTGGAGGATTTAGAACAATGCTTTCTGATGAAGAAGAAGATAACATCTGCAATGGAAAAAGTAAGAACAATAATGAAAGCAGTGGTGAATCTGATGACATGAATAGAAAAATCCATAAAGATGGTTCCGCAAAATCTAGAAAAAAAATCATTGAAAGGCATAAAATGCAAGAATACAATGACAAAAATATTGCACGAATAAATGGAATTATAAATAATAAATTACATGAAATTTATGAATGGGATGAATTTGTTTTACAAGGCTTAAAAGTTCACAATGAATATAGAAAAAAACACGGTGTGCCAAATTTAGTTTTAAGTCAAGAGGTAAGACAGATTTCTAATATTTATTCAACAACAATTCATTAATTTGCTGGTTGTAACTTTTTTAGTTATGTGAATCAGCACGAGATTGGAGTCTGAAATTGTCTCGATTAAATAAATTTAAACATAAGCCTGGTTGTGAATTTGGAGAAAATATTTTTGTGGTATGGTCATCTGATGTCAGCGATCATGTCTCAGCCAGGGATGTTGTTCGATGCTGGTATGAAGAAGGGCGTGAATATGACTGGGATGCCAAGGTAAAACTGTAATGAGTATATTGAGTAACGTATTTCAGTACGGTATATTATAAGCATTTAAGAACTATAATATAATTAATCATTAATTATTTAGGAAAAAGCGCGAGGTGGAGCACAATTTACACAAATCATATGGAGAGCAACAAAAGAACTTGGAATGGCTGTTTCCAGTAACGGCAGAGGAAAAATATATGTCGTTGCAAACTATAGGTATGTATACAATTGATTATGAACTTTATAATTTAAAGTGACATGAATAATCAAAAATTATTTATTATGAACTTTAGTTCCATTTACATGAATTTTGAAAAAACATAAACGTTTCATATTTATTATTTGCGTCCTAAATAAATTTCACAATTTCTAAATTCATTATTATTTAGATATCAGATGATATATTTTTTTCAATAGAGAACTTATTTTATTTTTTTAACAAAAATTATTTAATATTTGAACTTTTACCTATTTGATTTTCTAGGCCCCGCGGTAATGTCATCGGCCAGTTTTCAGAGAATGTCAACAAGCCTTTATGACTAAGATCTAAACTTGGTCTAAAAAGCAGGCCAAAGCATAACGGTATTGGATATGGTAAAAAGGAATAAATCATTACAGTTTATAAATAAATCATTACAGATATGGTAAAAAGGAAAAAACATTACAGTTTTAACCCATTTTAAAAAGAATTGTATCAATCATATTAAAGTTTTCATCAATTATAACATATAAATGTAGTTGCCAAAGTTTGCGCATTATAATAATAGACTGCTAATTACGCTAAATATTAATAAAAAATGTAGATGCTAATTTTCATAAATCTCATGGTGGGCATTTTATTTAATTATGAAAACTTAGGTAATTATAGGAACTATATATTTAATCGATTTTTAACTATTTATACTAATGCCATTAACTATAGAATAATACTAGGCCAAATAATGAAATATTATATTTTTAATTCTATTCATTCGTTTAGTTTTCAACGAATTGTTTTATTTTAAGTGTGTTTAAAGTATATTTTTATATGTTTTAAAGTTTATCATTCCTACAAATACTAGATGAAAACTAAAGTATGGTTTCGACTTATATATATTTATAATTATACCATATTATAATATGGTCTTTCAAGTTTAATAAGTTTGAGTCAATCATTTTAATTTCTACGTATTTTAATCATACTTAAGTATCAGGAGGGATATATTTAGAAAAAATAATCAGACATTGACTGTCTACTTGCAATGCATCAGTTTGTATGCTATGCCTTGCTTAAAAATATTACTTAACTATTTAAAGTTCTTGCAAAATATTTTGAAATGCTTTCAACTTAATTTTTCACAATAAGTATGAAATTGAATTGTATCAAATAATTTATTGCTGTTATTATTAAATGGGTCTGTTTACATTCAAAAATAAAACAGTGTTATTTAAATAACAATAATTGTATAGGATCAATGTATGTGAAAATTAAATATGTACTCTGTTAATTTATGAACTAAATTATTTTACTAATATTAGTTACAAGTAAAATTATTAATTTTTAAAAAGTATTTATTTGCTGTTAATAATTTATACCAGTTTTTGTTATATTTTTAAATTAATAATGAAAGTATGTTACCTATTGAAGACGCATACTGTTTTAGAATTGTTAAGTATTTATATTAATTTCACCTTTACTTAATATTAATGGTAGCTTTATTATGATGTTATTTTTTTACTATACTATAATGTAATGACTAATTACGCAATAAATATCTAATATATTAAAAAAAAGAATTGATTTTAAACTCTGTTTTATTCAGCAATCAGAAATACGGATTCCTGTAAGCTAAATTGACAATATTTGAGAGCGATATCTAAGAAAATCTCCAGTGAGATCTTTTTAGTCAAACAATTGATACGGTA